CATTCAGGGTCAATGTGGGTTCAAATGAGAAAATACGTGTGAAATAGCTTTGTCACCTCTAGAATGAAATAGGAATTGTTTCATAGTTTTCAGTTTGGTTTAATTAATCAAGGATGTATTGAACACCAGACAGACCTGGGATTAGATAATGCTCATAAAGTATGGCACCTAGCAAGTCCTCTTCCAGTCTTTGAGGTTTCCCGCTTGTGGCTTTCTGGCAAAGGCATGTTCAGCTCCTTTTACTGGGCTTCCAAGAACCCCTGAAATCCTTTCCAATTCCACCTCGCTTTGCTCTAGCAGATTCCTGCCATGGGAGACATAAGTGTGTGTCATCGCATCATCCCGCCCTTCCTAGAGGTAGAAAAAATGAGGTCCTCACGGGGTCACTGAGTGAGGTAGGGCTGAGCCCCACAGGCAGCATACTCAACTCCTGCTGCTCCTCCTGGCTCTGCAGCCAGCAGATCTCAGACATGGGCTCCCCTCCCTTTGCCCATCCTGACAGCATCCCAAGCCAGCAGTGAGACCGTCCGGCACAAGGGCAGCAGCTGGTCAAGCTCTGTCCCCGACCCCCAGTTCCCTTTGTGCAACTGCCACGGTGCCTGGGGCCATTGAAGCTGCTCCTATTTTGTGCCATCACTTTCCCCCTTCACTAGGAGAATTATAGATCCCTTAACATCTGGAGAGGAGATGCCACTTTCAGGGGTTTAGGGATCTGGTGCCTGGACGTAGGTCTTCCCAGAGCCAGATCCGGAATTCTCTCTCCATCCTTCTCTCTGCCCCAGATGTGCTAATGTAACAGAAAGAACACTGAGCCAGGAGTCAGGAAAGCAACTCTCTGCCTATCTCCTAGCGCCTCTAGACCTCTGTGGCTTTAGGTGATAAAAAGTGGGGTCGCACAGGCTTCCATTTAGTAAACCCACTTGCCCTGGGCTTTCACAGCTTCATCTCATTCTCCCCTGATACAAACGAGGAGGTAGGCAGGGCTGGTTTTGTGATACCATTCCCTAGTTGAGGAAACCAAGACAGCATGAGTCTATGCGAGTGGTGTAAAGTCACCAGCAGATTTGAACAGTGAGGTTTTGGTACAGCCATTTTGATATGGTCATGAGGACATTTTGATGTCACCTACAAAGCAAACTATCCAACTTAAAAAAAAAAATACCTATGCACTGTGCTCAGCAGAGACCTTCGTCTATGTCTGCCCTCTCTCTGGAGGGGCTGGGGCTGGGGTCTCAATGCCACTGGCTTCGACACGGTATGGTGGAGTGGAAAGAGGCTTTGGCGTCAACATGCCTGGTTATACACATGGTTATGTAACATATCCTACACGTGGCAGGTGCTAAATAAATAGCAGCTAATATTTTCCAGGAAGAAATTTCTCTGTTGGCACCTACCCCTGGGTCCAGGTGTCTCTTCATTTTTTAATTGTTTGGAGTCTTGCTCTGTCACCCAGGCTGGAATGCAGTGGCATGATCTCAGCTCACTGCAGCCTCCACCTCCTGGGTTCAAGCGATTCTCCTGCCTCAGCCTCCCGAGTAGCTGGGATTACAGACCCGTGCCACCACACCCAGCTAATTTTTACACTTTTAGTAGAGACAGGGTTTTACCACGTTGGCCAGGCTGGTCTTGAACTCCTGACCTCGTGATCCACCCACCTCGGCCTCCCAAAGTGCTGGGATTACAGGTGTGAGTCACCACGCCCGGCCCCAGGTATCTCTTTATAAGAACTGCCTTTTCTGTGAAAGGCAGAGAGGAAAGAACTGAACAAATTCTCTTCTCTAAGATTGGATATCCTGCTCCTTCCTCTCCCACTGGTTCCTCTCAACAGCAAGACCCTCTGAGGTAGAGCAGAGTGGCTAAGGGCCTATGCTCTTGATCCAGAATCCCATCTAAGTCACTTACCAACTGTGCAACCTTGGGCAAATGTCTCACCTCTCTGTGCCTCAATTATCTCACTTATGAAATGGGGTTGCCCATTTTGTCCTATCTCCTAGGGTGGCTGTAAAAATGAAACACATTAACACATGTAAAGCACCTGGAAAGGACTCAGTGTACGTTCTTCTAGCCTAGCCTGTAGTGCTTGTCTCCTCTCTTATCCACATGGGTTCAACCTAAGTAGCTCACTCTCTATCTTCAAACGATGCCCAGCAAGCAAACTTCTACTCTCATATCAAGTCCAGGGGACCTTTCTTCCTCTGAAAAAGAGGGAAACCTGAGATTAGATGGACAAAGGTTTGGACTCCACACCATGAGAGCTGACGTGCAGTCACTTTAACTGAATAGGAGCTTGTTAAATACATTTTATAAAAAGAAAAACTATTCTTCAGCACAGCTTACACTCCTGCCCCAATCCACAATTGTGGAGCCATATATTACAAATATGTTGGGACACTAACTTAGTAAACTGCAGCAGTGAAAAAACAACTGCTAGTTTAAGGACCAGAAAACGTGCCCTCATGCATGACATAATGTCATATATATATAACTCAATAAAGAAGGCCCCTCTGCTCATTTAAAGCATGATAATGGGGTAGTGACCTCAAATTCGGATTCTGCTGTGAGTCTTGGGGTCAAGAATCCCCATAACCCTTACATTTCCGACCTGCGTCATGAGGATAACAACATCTATCTCTTGGGTTGTTGTGCTGATGGATGAAGTCATACAAGAAAAGAACATAGCAAAGCATTTGGCACAAAGCAGGTGCCCAACATTATGTTCTTTTTCTTCCTTCCTTAAGCAAATCCTTTAAATCCAGCCCCAGCCACCCAGTGGGGTGGGTCTCCCTGAGATTTGAATCCCCCAGGTTTGGAAGAAAGTCTCTGGTTTTGAGAGGAAGGGGTCTCTAATGATTCTGAAAGCTCGGGATCCTTCCAACTGTTACTAGAGAAATTGTGCTTCAAGTTTTAGCTTTGGGCAAAGAAGAGCTCCTGTTCCTGCGAGCAGGGGTATCCTCTCCTGCCAATCATCCCGTCTAGGACTGGACTGTGTGCATCCCGCCGATGTTGCCATCTGCCTGACCTGCCTGTGCATGCCTGATGCTCTCATCCCTGGCTTGAGACCATGCAGAGGGTAATGGGTGCACGCACATGTCTCCTCTCCACACGAACATGCACAGTCACCCAAACATGTCACAAAATGAGAAGTCTGGGACAGACGTCAGGGTCTTCACCTTGGAGAAGCTGGCATCTGACTCTCTGCAACCCAGGCCAAGTCCAGAAGAGGGCTGCTCAGCTTGTAGGAAGACCGCTCCTGTCTCCCACAAATATTAGGCAGTTGCTTATCTAGAGGTGAGGACAGGAACAAGAAGCAAGGACAACGGCTGCTGGTGTGGGTTCTTAAAAGCAGGCAGCATTTTGTCCTCCCACCTATGCCAGCACCCACCCTGTGCCAGCACAAGTAGCAAATGGTAGATCTCTCAGGTCTTTGCAGCCAGCCCATCCCAACTGTTGCCGAGACTTCCTGGCCTCCTGAAAGCTGCTCCCACCTGGGAGCATCTCCCATGGCAGCTTGCAGTGCTTACGCAGGTGATGACACCCCAGCCAACGTCCCCTGATTGCTTTCACGTTGGAGCTGACTGGTATTTGGCTAAGGCCCCACTCCAGGGATTAATCATTGACCTGGTAAGAAAGGTCTGGGGCAATTAACTGGACTCAAGAGAGCCTCGATGTTGCCATCTGACACCCATATCTGTTCCCACTCCCTCCCCTTACTCTTCCAAAGAACTGCAGAAACAAAATACCTTTATATTCACAAGGAAATAAAAGGTTCCTTGCTGGGAAATTCCCCTGCAACAAAGAAATAACCAAGATAAACAACTCTATTGCCTTTGGCTCAAGCTGAAGGGAGTCTGGGAGCAGGAGCAAGGGCCAGGGTGGTGAGGGAGGTCTGGGAGATAATGCCTAGCTTCCTCCTGCTTACAGCATCCTTATCTTTATGGCACTCATTACTGCCCAAACTTACGATCATTTAACACTCTCTTTGTCAAGATAACTCCAAAGTTTAAAGTCTGTCAAACTCTGGGAAAGTGGGAACTCCTCTCTCCTCCTCTAGGCTGTAGTTGGGGCCTTGATGACAGCTGCTGTCAGGCAGGCCCCTGGGACCCTCAGCTCTCCTCAGCCCTGGGCTTTGTCCACAGTGGTGACAAAGTCCACACGGGCTGCTCCATCTGAGTGGTCTTATCTTTGATTCTTCATCTTTGTCTGCCAGGTCTTACCGGGCAGGATTACAAAGACCCTACCACCTAAGTTTTTAAACCCCAATTCCATAACCAAGTTGCTGGGAAAACACAAGCCTATCATTCAGCATCTCAAGATCTCAATGTTTTATCCATAAAATGGTTGTGATTATACCTCTCTGTCTTATTTCAAGGGAACATACAAAGCTCAAATGAAATAATGTAGATGATAGTGCTTTCATAAGCAACAGGGTCTCTACAAATAACACAAATAAGCATAAGGTAAAAGCATGCTCTTGTATTTGGGGTGCCATACAGCAGTGGAGAGGTTAAGCACATGGACTTTGCAGTCAGACAAAGATGGGCCTAAATCTTCCCCACCCCCATTCTGTGTACCCCCACACACTTAACCCCTGTGTGCCCTTGAGCAAACTACTTAACCTTTAAGCCTTCATTTCCTCCCATGTGAATGTGAATAAGAATACTAACCTTGTAGGGCTGATATCAAGACCATATGAGATAATACACATAAATTATTCAACACAGTGCCTGAGACAGAATAAGGGTGCAATCAATGGGGTTAGGACCATCATAATTACATTTACAACCTTAATAATCATGACACCTCCTCTGTGGGTCTCAGTTTCCTCATCTGAACACACCGTGAAATATGTCAGCCTGCTTCACCTCCCAGGAATGTCAGGAACGTAGGGAGGGCAGCTGAAACAGAAAGATGGGGCCACATATTGGTAGGAACCAATCACCCAGCAAGCCGTTCCTGAGATCTTACAGCGTGCCTGGGACTGTGTCTCATGGGCAGGGAAACAGAACAAATGACACAATATCTCTATCCCAAAGGAGCTTGCAGCTTAGTTGAGAAGACAAAAGCTACTTATAGCTATTAAGGAAATGTAAGTGTTGAAGGATGATAAGACTTCGAGTTGTTATAGAAAAGGTGGAGGCACTGATTCATTCAACAGGATTTATGTCAGTTGCTGGAGATACAAAGTCAAACAGATGTCACACAAACTCTAAGGTCAACAGTCTTGGAAGACAAGGGGAGCTTCATCTCCTTGTGATTATTGTTTTCAGCATTGCACACGAGAAGGCGGCCTGAGTGGTGCGGCGCTCAGGACACACCAGCAATGCTGCTCTTCGTGCTCACCTGCCTGCTGGCGGTCTTCCCAGGTATGTCTGCCAGGTCCCTACTCCCCAAGCTCTACCCCTCCAGCCTGCCCGACTCCAGGGTTCACCTCTCTGGGGACACTAAAATCAGACTCATCCCCAGGGATGTCCCTCTCAAAGTTGGCACTCCCTTGAGGAAGAGTCATACAGAGACCATGTCTGTGAGAGTTGGAAATCAGGGACAGGAATGGCACTTCCTAATCTCAAGGCCAGGGGTCTGTGAAAGATCTTATTTGAGAATAACAAAGACCTTAACTTCAACCAAGCATCTCTATGACCCGCTGTGAAATCTGAGGGAAATCACTTATCCTTCCTGGCTCTCAATATTTTTATCTGGGGGAAAAAAAAGACAAGAAAATCATCTACAAAGTGTTTTTAGAAATATAAGGAAATAACACATGGCAAGTGCAAACTTGTAACACCTTACGAAAGTGGTGTTATTGTTTGAAAAAACAAAGGATGGCTGGATGCTAGCTCACCGCTGTAATGCCAGCACTTTGGCAGGCCGAGGCGGGTGGATTGCTTGAGGTCAGTAGTTCAAGACCAGCCTGGCCAACATGGAGAAACCTTGTCTCTACTAAATAGAAACCAAAATTTGCCAGCATGTGCCTGTAGTCCCAGCTACTCAGGAGCCTGTGGCATGAGAATCACTTGAACCTGGGAAGTGGAGGTTGCACTGAGCCAAGATCGTGCCACTGCACACCAGCTTGGGTGACAGAGTGAGACTTTGTCTCAAAAAATATATATGTATAAAATAAAAAACAAGGAATATCATAAATTTGTCATTCCCTTGTTCTTGAAATGGTTATCATTAATGAATTACAATTAGAATTTAATCGTGATTAAAACAGTCACTTTAATCTCAGCAATTTTCCAGCTGTAATATATGATAAATTATCAACAGAGGGCCTATGTGTCAGGTAGAAAACTACATCTCCTCATAGTGGATTATCTGGAACAGGCTGTACCTCCCAAGGGCCTCAGAAAACCTCTCTCTTCTGTACCCACAGCCATCTCCACGAAGAGTCCCATATTTGGTCCCCAGGAGGTGAGTAGTGTGGAAGGTAACTCAGTGTCCATCAAGTGCTACTACCCACCCACCTCTGTGAACCGGCACACCCGGAAGTACTGGTGCCGGAAGGGAGCCAGTGGCCGCTGCATAACCCTCGTCTCCTCAGAGGGCTACGTCTCCAGCAACTATGCAGGCAGGGCTAACCTGACCAACTTCCCGGAGAACGGCACATTTGTGGTCAACATTGCCCAGCTGAGCCGGGATGACTCCGGGCACTACAAGTGTGGCCTGGGCATCAACAGCCGAGGCCTGTCCTTTGATGTCAGCCTGGAGGTCAGCCAGGGTAAGGATCCAGGCTCCTTGGGTTTCTGGGAGAATGTTAGAGGGAATTCTCTAAGGTGCATGGAGGGCTGGAGGAGGAACTTCCTGACAAGGATGCGTAGCCCGGCCGGGGGTCAGAAGGCTCCCCTCTACCCAGGCAAAGACTTCTTAGAACAGGAGGAGGAGACAGATAGGGCCTACTTGGGGGTGATAAGTGAACCCTTCTAGGACTTGGTGGCCTATAACATTTTAGGCTTTCTGGAGACCCCAGCTTAGAAGGGTATCAGGAGGACAAATTTTCTCGTGTTTGCTACAGGTAGAAAGGGAAATCTGACATCAGGCTAAGGAGATAGAAAAGGCAGGGAGAGATTTACAGGGATCCTTAAATTCCTATCATTAATGCAACTTTCCACCAAGGTTTGGGCTGCCAAAAGGCTTCTTGTAAAATGTATATATATTTTTTTAACCCAGGAACCCTTAGTCTTTCAGTATTATCAGGATAAACTAGATTATTAGTTCTTGACCAAAGACCAAGATCCTGAAAGGATGGGTTGCTAACAAGCCTATTCTAGTTGGAGAAAGAGAAAAAAAGAAAAGTTCTTTCTGACAAGGGTTTAACAATGAGGCCATTTTAGATAGTCAAGGACAACTCAAAAGAGAGGTCTTACAGAGGAAAGAAATTCAGGGGGACTCCCGAAGACATGTTCTGCTCCTTTGGAATATACATACTATTGTCTGTGGACTAAATGAGGAGGTCATTCAGGTGGGGATGGAGATTCGAAACCACAGAATCTTAAGAGGTGAAGAGGGCTTAGAGTTCACCCTGTCCGGACGCTTAGAAGAACGTGCCGATGGTGGGTATGCAGCCTCTGATTAAGCGCTTTAGCAGAAACTCACTGCTCCTCGAGACAGCCCATTTCACATTTACACTGTTGTAATTTTTGGAAACTTCTATTGTATGCGTTGAAATCCATCACCCTGCATTTACATTCGTTCTGTTCATTTCAACACACATTAATTTGGCCACCTACTACACAGAGGCATTGTGCTTGTCACAGCAGAGGGGTCAAACATGAGAAAAACATGCTCCTGCCTTCAAGGTACTTCCAGTCCATGGAGAACATAATTAACCATACACCAGATTGGATGTAATAAGCGATGCAGATGTATCAAGAAAGCATAGGGCAGGGAGCGATTACTGTCAGCTTGGGGAAGGTTTCATGGAGGAGACGGCCGTCAAGCTGGGCCTTGGAACACATATTCTGACAGAGTTCCTCTGGGAAGGAGGGCATTCCAGGTTATAAGTCCACCCACACCCTAATTAGGAATAGCAAATAGTCCTATGTTGCAAGAAAGTAGAATCACAGTTTGCCCGCCCCCTACCCTGCACCCCTCATCCTGCAGGTCCTGAGCTCTCAAATGACACTGAAGTCTACACAGTGGACGTGGGCAGAACGGTGACCATCAAATGCCCTTTCAAGACTGAGAATGCTCCGAAGACGAAGGCCTTGTACAAGAAGATAGGCCAGAGCTCTGTGCTGGTCATTGACTCCAGAAGTTATGTGAATCCCAACTATCAGGGCAGAATACGCCTTCGTATTCCAGGTACTGGCCAGTTAATTTTCACCGTTGTCATCGACCGACTCAGGCTCAGCGATCATGGACTGTATCTCTGCCAGGCCGGGGATGGTTCCAATCGTGATGAGAAGAATGCTGACCTCCAAGTGCTAAAGCCCGAGCCCGAACTGGTTTATGAAGACCTGAGAGGCTCAGTGACCTTCCACTGTGCCCTGGGCCTTGAGGTGGCAAATGTGGCCAAATTTCTGTGCCGAGTGAACAGTAGGGAAACCTGTGACGTGGTCATCAACACACTGGGGCAGAGGGACTCAGCCTTTGAGGGCAGGATCCTGCTCAACCCCCAGGACAAGGATGGCTCATTCAGTGTGGTGATCACGGGCCTGAGGAAGGAGGATGAAGGGCGCTACCTGTGTGGAGCCCACTCGGATGGTCAGCTGCAGGAAGGCTGGCCCATCCAGGCCTGGCAACTCTTCGTCAATGAGGGTAAGGCCCTAGAGAAGGAGAGGGAGGAGGTGGGGCAGTCTTGCAGGTGAGAGCCAAGCTCAGCTCCCTCTGAGTCTATTTATCAATAGTCATCAATCAGCCAATAGCATCCACTCACTGACCAGCCCCGAAGTGGAGGCTGTGTGGGCTGCTGCACAGGACAGCGAGAAAAAGCAGCCTCTGCCTGGTGGCAGCTCCTAATTACTCTTCTGTTATCAAAGTCCTTTTGATGGCTATCCCTGCTTAACAAGTAAGAGGTGAGTAAAGCTCTTGATTGAGGCAGGACTTATAGACTGTGTTTGAGGGCTGTGGCAGGCTCTGCAGGGGTCCTCTGTCCCCTCCCCTGACCCCTGAGCAAGAGGGGTGCCTCATCCCTCACCTTCAGATGGAAAAAGGATTGGCTAATCTTGGTATCAATGCGTTCCCAGGAGTGCCCCAGCTTCTAAATGTTTCACTCCCACATTTTGTAGGGTTATTTGTGAAGTTCAGCACCGTCTGGCCCACTCAGCCCTACTCTAGTGAGCCATCAGCATAGTGAAAGAATTAAATCCCAGCTCTGTCTCACCCCAGAGCACCCTGCATAGAGTTGCCCTCGCGAGAAGCAGCAAACCAGTACTTGCAGTTCCAAGTATCTGTGCTTGTGACTTTTTTTTTTAAAGGGGCTTATGTTCCCTGCACGCCATGTTCATGTCCAGCTTGGGGTCCTCACCAGGACCCCCTGCATCTTTGGTCACCTGGTTCTCTCTGGACCTCAGCTTTAGCTGCCTGGACAATGGCTATCGTCTTTGAGATGCCTCTTGGGGCCCCAACAATTAAGCTCACCTTTGCTACATACTTTATATTTTACATAATACCTTTCTAAATATATTTTCTTGATTTGGACATAATCCCATTTGGCCACTTTTGTGGAATACCCTTATTAGTGTACAAAACAGACAAAACCTTATACAGAGGGAGAGTTTGTAAGAAGCCAAAGAAGAAGAGCTGATATTCTCTCCTTCAACTCCTTCCATTCTCTGCTCAGAATAATGTGGAGGAAAAGAACAACATGTCCAGGTTGACGGGGAGACTCCATGTCCCTGGAGTCTGGCCCTGGTGGCTCCAGCTGCAGGCTCTGTGACATTAGGAAAGTTCCTTTTCATTTTCTGAGGAGGGTAAGGTGATTCGTGTAAACTTCACTCCCCATCCTGGGTGAGACCCTGGAAAGAAGGCTTCTCAGGCCACGCAAGGCTCTTCCTGCGTGGCCATCCTTCCATCCCATCTCTGTCTGTGCTTTCAGAGTCCACGATTCCCCGCAGCCCCACTGTGGTGAAGGGGGTGGCAGGAGGCTCTGTGGCGGTGCTCTGCCCCTACAACCCTAAGGAAAGCAAAAGCCTCAAGTACTGGTGTCTCTGGGAAGGGGCCCAGAATGGCCGCTGCCCCCTGCTGGTGGAGAGCCAGGGGCTGGTTCAGGAGCAGTACGAGGGCCGCCTCGCCCTGCTCCAGGAGCCAGGCAACGGCACCTTCACTGTCATCCTCAACCAGCTCACCACCCAGGACGCCGGCTTCTACTGGTGTCTGACCAACGGCGATACTCGCTGGAGGACCACCGTGGAGATCAAGATTATCGAAGGTAAGAGTTGAACAGGAAGGGAGAAAGCTCTAAGACCTCTCCAGCCAGCAGCAGCATCCCCAGCCACTCTTCCTCCTTTTTCACCCACCTCCACCCTGATGGGCCAGACCTCAGGAGGGAGCCCACCTATTCAGAGGTCACATTTTCATATCTGTAACACGCACCCTACACTCTGAATTACCATACATGGCACCTCCTACTATCAAGAACATGGGCTTCTTTCGCAGTGTGCAGGCATCAGCTGAAGTTGAGGATTGCAGATACCTCTTTGTATGGAGTCTAGAAGAGAAGGAAGAGTGAGGAAAGCAAACTGAAGTCCATGTGCAAAGATCTATGGGTTATCGTAGACTCTGGATTGATCATGGTGCTCATCAATAATAATTATTACCTAGGCACACAATTACATTTCTTATGTAGTCAGAATAACATACTTATTTCTAATGCTATACGAAGAGGAAATGTAGACTGAGCATGGTGGTACATGCCTGTAATCCCAGCACCTTGGGAGGCCAAGACAGGAAGATCGCTTGAGCCCAGGAGACGGAGGCTGCAGTGAGCTATGATTGCACCACTACCCTCCAGCCTGGGTGACAGAGAGAGACCCTGTCTCAAAAAAAAAAAAGGAAAAATGTTGAGATACATACATACATACATATATATGACATGTGGACAGTGACACCAGAGTCACTTTCCTGCAGCATCTCCAAGTACCAACTTCTGTGCTTATTTCTACCTCCCTCCCTCCTCCAGGAGAACCAAACCTCAAGGTACCAGGGAATGTCACGGCTGTGCTGGGAGAGACTCTCAACATCCCCTGCCACTTCCCATGCAAATTCTCCTCGTATGAGAAATACTGGTGCAAGTGGAGTAACACAGGCTGCCAGACCCTGCCCAGCCAAGATGAAGGCCCCAGCGAGGCCTTCGTGAACTGTGACGAGAACAGCCGGCTTGTCTCCCTAACCCTGAACCCAGTGACCAGGGCAGACGAGGGCTGGTACTGGTGTGGAGTGAAGCAGGGCCACTTCTATGGAGAGACTGCAGCTGTCTATGTGGCAGTTGAAGAGAAGAAGGTAGCAGGTGAGTCTCCAAGGGCAGGGCCTGCGCCCCTCAGACCCAGAGGCAGGACTTCCTGAAGGCCCCTGCCTAAGAGCTTCTCAATCAGTGCTGGCCCGTATGTTTGGCTGTAAGAGGCTGAAAGTGGAGGACGGGAAGGGAGGGGACATTTAGGTCCTATATAGCCTCATTAAGCCTTTCAAAAGGGACATCTCAAATAAACATACCAACTAAATAAAAATAGTGGGTTTGCAATTTAACCTCGGCATTAAGACAACTCCCAGCTGAATGTGGTGGCTCACACCTGTAATCCCAGCACTTTGGGAGGCCAAGGTAGGCAGATCACTTGAGGCCAGGAGTTCAACACCAGCCTGGCCGACATGGAGAAAACTCGTCTCAACTAAAAATACAAAAATTAGCTGAGTATGGTGGTGTAATCCCAGCTATCTGGATAGCTGAGGCATGAGAATTGCTTGAACCCAGGAGGTGGGGGTTGCAGTGAATGAGATGGTGCCACCGCACTCTAGCCTGGACAACAGAGCTAGGTTCCATTTAAAAAAAAAAAAAGACAAGTCCCATAGTTGCCACTTCAACCCAGATTGAAGTCTCTTCTCTATCTGGAAATATTCTTCTCTGTATAGAAGAATAATATGCATACATCACTGTCATATACAATATGTTCATCTCCCTTCCCCCTGCCAAAGCTTGCCCTCAAAAGAGGGCCGGGTACCTTCGTTTACAAGGTCTGATCAAGAAAATTAGGAAACATCTAGTAAATTTGCATTTCAAGTCCTCTTTTAAAATTTCACATGAAATGTTTCAGCCCTAATGAGGGTATTTCGTAGTCCCTCAAGAAATCCTATTGTGTGGACCCTGCTGTTGGGACTCACTGAGGGGCCCTTCGCCAGGCTACCTCCAGGGGGCAGCACTATCGCACCCAGTTGGGCAGTCAGGAAGCCTGGAGCCAGCGTCTCAGAGCCTTGAAAATCTCCCCAGCGTAAGTGATGCATCAGCCTTAATGATAGGTCAGCCTTTATGCACAGCTGATCTATGACACGAAGGCTTGAAGGTCCCCACCATACGTTTGGTAGTAATGGGGCAGAGATCATCTGTGACAGCTGAAGAAGGCCATCACAGCTCTGTTTCTAATGCCATCCTGGGTCCTACCCCAACAGCCTTGAGATTGAACCCTGACCCTGTGATTCCACATGAAGTCTCCCCAGGCTCCTTCACCTCGAGGAGTAAGAGCATAGAGAAAAAATCACAACCCAGGCCCCACTCTTCCCTGCGGCAGGGTCCCGCGATGTCAGCCCAGCGAAGGCGGACGCTGCTCCTGATGAGAAGGTGCTAGATTCTGGTGTCCGGGAGATTGAAAACAAAGCCATTCAGGATCCCAGGCTTTTTGCAGAGGAAAAGGTCGTGGCAGATACGGGAGATCAAGCCGGTGGGAGCAGAGCATCTGTGGATTCCAGCAGGTGAGGAAGGATTCAAGGCTCCCCACTCGAACACCCCAGAGCTGAGCACCTGAGGCTGGGCCACCAGGTCCAAGGAGGAAAGCCTGTCTGTCTCTTGAGCACTGGGGCAGCCCTTACTACCTCTGCTTATACAATAAGTGGGAGGGTCCCATGGTACCCTCTGCCCTTCTCCCACGGCTGAGGAGGTGTTTACAAGTCAGTTCAGTCTTCTGGGCCTGGGATGCAACAAGGCCCAGTGCTTGCCTTTGCCAGTCTGGGAACGCTTCTTAGAAGAACAGAGCTAGGGAGCTGCATCAGCAGGATGGGGTGGATAAACCTGGGAGGACAAAGTAGCCGAGTCAACCTTGGCAGCACATCCTCGGGCCCCCAGATCTCCTTTCCAGGGATGAACTAACTTAAGCCTTCTTCCAGCTCTGAGGAACAAGGTGGGAGCTCCAAAGCGCTGGTCTCCACTCTGGTGCCCCTGGGCCTGGTGCTGGCACTGGGAGCCGTGGTTGTGGGGGTGGCCAGAGCCCGGCACAGGAAGAACGTCGGTGAGTCCCTGGGATACTCCCTGCCTCCACCTCCAACCCCAGCCCTCAGTCCTGAATCATCTACCCATAGAGGAAGCTGCCATTGTATCTCCTTTTTCACGGGCTAAAACAAAGGATTCTGAGAAAGCAGGATGGGGAAAGATAAACCCACACATACTCGAAACTTAAATTCGGAGCTGCTGTCCAAATACTAACTCTGGAAAATCATCTGCAATTACCCAGGGTCTAGGTTCAGAGGCAGGGCTGCCAGGAAGAGAAGACTGGGTTTCAGGAGACCTTGGGCTTGGACTAATTGGATAACTAATGAGCTGTGTGACATTGGGCCATCCTTATGCCATGCCTCAGTTTCCTCATGGCTCAAGACAAGGATGATAATCACTACCTCACAGAGCTGATGTGAGGACCAAAGGAGATATTGTTCATTGAAAGATCCCAGAGTGACAAACAAAGATCAGGGATTACCAAGTCCTGATTACCCAGGAAAAGGGACTGGGGAGGAGACTCCCTCCCCATCCCCCTGGGTCATAGTCAGAGGTGCACCACCTCAGCTGTCCTGCAGGGCTACAGTGGATCTGCCTAGAGACAAGCAGCCCAGCCTGGCCTTCTAGGTCCCAGCCCCTGTCCCTACACCAACTCCTCTTCCTCCTGGACAGACCGAGTTTCAATCAGAAGCTACAGGACAGACATTAGCATGTCAGACTTCGAGAACTCCAGGGAATTTGGAGCCAATGACAATATGGGAGCCTCTTCGATCACTCAGGAGACATCCCTCGGAGGAAAAGATGGTATGACCCTCACTCAAGGGAATGCACAGCCCCTAGGGAGAGCAAGAATTAGCCCCACATCTGGGTTGGGAAAAGGAGGCTAGTAAGGGCTCACCTACCCTCTTTCTTCACAGAGTTTGTTGCCACCCCTGAGAGCACCACGGAGACCAAAGAACCCAAGAAGGCAAAAAGGGTGAGGAGGAAGAAGGAAGCCCCACTATGTGCCAAGGAAATGCAGCATGAGGGGCTGCAGTGAGACTTCAGGAAGAACTACCTTAATATGGGGGCTGATCCCAAAATAGGGAGGATGGTATAAATAGTCCTTAGGAGTCCTCAGGACTTTTTGAGGAAGAACTGTATCTTACTGGTGGTGGGATGCTGATGTGGATAAGACCCAGGAAGGAGGTGAGCTATATGATTAGGCTGTAAAATGGCAAGAGGGAGGCAGGCCGGGAGATGAGAAAAGCAGGTACATAAAAGATGGGAAGCTCCAATGCCAAATCCTGGTGATTAATGGATGCTCTTCCTGGGTTGGGGGACCCAAGGACCTCAGGCCACCCATCCTTCCTTAAGGGTTTGCTCAGGACCAGCTTTTTGCCTGGTCCTAGGAGACATTTGCTCGCTGTGGGCAGTTTGAGGCTAGAAGCCCCTGCTCACTTCTCTTGAAGCCCCAGCAGAGGCAACTCCTGCCTTTGGGTGCCATATACCATCCCCGCAATCTTCCCTAGGACTCAGGGGACCCAGAAAAATAACATCTCGTGCCTCTAATCCCGAGATGATAGTTTTTGTTGTTGTGGTTGTTTTTATCATATCTACTTTTTCTTGAAACATCTCTGGCATTTAGCAAAGTTAGAACAAGTTATTCCTGGAGACAGCCTTCCCCTTTAACTCTGTGGTGCCAAAAAACTACCTCTCTGGGCTAGTAGAGAAAGAAAAACATACACCACCGTGGTTGACCCCAGCCTAGGCCACCTTGCCCGTGGACTGTGTGGGCAGCTTCCGGGGACAGGCCCGGGCAACAGAGGCGGTTCCACTCCACGTGTCAGAAGGAGGTAGTGAGACAGAAGGAGATATTTTTAGAGGCTGCAACTTTCCATTTCTCAAAATGCGTCCTGTTTGGTGAACATGGGGGCTGGGATGAGAACAGTGGGCCCCACAGGCTTGTGTTGCTTGGACCAAGATCATGAATTCAGGACATTGAGTACTTCCCCTCCCCCAACTCCACCCACTGAGCCAGTGCCCCCCACACTGACTCTTCTCCTCTTGTGCCTTAGTCATCCAAGGAGGAAGCTGAGATGGCCTACAAAGACTTCCTGCTCCAGTCCAGCACTATGGCCACCGAGGCTCAGGAAAGCCCCCAGGAAGCCTAGATGGGGTTGCCTCCTGCCTCCTGCACCCATGACAATCACCTTCAGAATCATGTCGATCCTGGGGCCCTCAGCTCCTGGGGACCCCGTTGCCTGCTCTAACACCTGCCTAGGTTTTTCCTACTGTCCTCAGAGGTGTGCTGGTCCCCTACTCAGTGACATCGAAGCCTGGCCTAATTGTTCCTACTGGGGATGAGGGCAGCGTGAGGAGGTCCCACTTGCAACTTCTTTCTGTTGAGAGAACCTCAGATATGGAGAAGAATAGAAGTCCTCACAGGTCCCTTGAAGGAAGAGGGACGGGGTGGGAGAGCTGATTGCAGAAAGGACAGACGTGTAACGCCCCTCTGCACCCTTATCATGGGATGTCAACAGAAGTTTCCCTCCACTCCATTTCTCCCTCCATCCTTTCTCTCTTCTTCTTTCCTTCCATCAAAAGATGTATTTGAATACGTACAGAATTCAGGCGCTCTGCTAGATGCTGTGACAGGTATGCCACCAACACCGCTCACAGCCTTTCTGAGGACACCACTGAAAGAAGCCACAGTTCCTCTTGGTGTATTTATACTCACTGAGTCTTAACTTTTCACCAGGTGTGCTCACCTCTGCCCCTGTTGGGAGAGGTCATAAAATTTCTCGAGTCCTAAAGCCTCAGGGGTCATGTATGATGAGCGTACATACAGGTAATTATAAACCCACATTCTTACCATTTCACACATGAGAAAATTAGGGTTTGGAAGAGTGAAGCATTTTTCTTTCCTTTTTTTTTTTTTTTTGAGATGGAGTTTCGCTCTGTTGCCCAGGCTGGAGTGCAGTGGCACGATCTTAGCTCACTGCAACCTCCGCCTCTTGGGTTGACACCATTCTCCTGCCTCAGCCTCCCAAGTAGTTGGGACTACAGGCGCCCGCCACCATGCCTGGCTAATTTTTTGTATTTCTAGTAGAGACAGCGTTTCACTGTGTTAGCCAGGATGGTCTCGATCTCCTGACCTCGTGATCTGCCCGCCTCGGTCTCCCAAAGTGCTGGGATTACAGCCGTGAGCCACCATGCCTGGCCTCTTTTTTTCTTTTCTATTTTTTTTGAGACATAGCCTCACTGTGTCACCCAGACTGGAATGCAGTGACACAATCTCGGCTCACTGAAACCTCTGCCTTCCAGGTTCAAGCGATTCTCGTGCCTCAGTCTCCCAAGTAGTTGGGACTACAGATGTGGGCCACCACACCTGGCTTTTTTTTTTTTTTTTTTTTTTTTGTAGCGACAGGGTTTCACCATGTTGACCAGACTGCTCGAACTCCTGGCCTCAAGTGATCCGCCCACTTTAGCCTCTCAAAGTGCTGGGATTACAGGCATGAACCACTGCACCCAGCCCTGAAGCATTTTTCTCAAAGGCCCCCAGTGAGATAAACTAGATTTGGTGTCTTCTCTCCCGGGCCAGGGATCTCTCTACAAGAGCCCCTGCCCCTCTGTAAGGAGGAGGAGGGAGAAGAGAAGATGTAAAGGAGGGAGATCATTCCCAGGCCCACCATTTCTGTCACTCACATGGACCTAAGATAAAAGAATGGCCAAACCCTCACAACCCCTGGTGTTTGAAGAGTTCCAAGTTGAAGGGAAACAAAGAAGTGTTTGATGGTGTCAGAGAGGGGCTGCTTTCCAGAAAGCTAACATTAATTTCTTTTTCCCTCTGAGTTCTGTACTTCAACCAGCCTACAAGCTGGCACTTGCTAACAAATCAGAAATATGACAATTAATAATTAAAGACTGTGATTGCCACCAACGAGGCTCAGACTGTATTTGTCTCCAATACCTTTTGTCTCCCAGACAGCCCTTTCAGGGCTTTCTTTTCTTTTTCTTTTTCAAGACAGGGCACTCTGTTGCTCAGGCTAGAGTGCAGTGGTGCAATCACGGCTCACTGCAGCCTCTACCTCCTGGTTTCAAGTGATCCTCCCACCTCAGCCTCCAGAGTAGCTGGGACTGCAGGCATCCACCACCACACTGGCTAACTTTTTGTATTTTTTTGTAGAGACAGAATTTCGCCATGTTGCCCATGCGGGTCTTGAATTCATGGGCTCAATTGATCCTCCCACCTCTGCCTCCCAAAGTTCTGGGATCACAGACACAAGTCACTGCATCTGGCTGCCTTTTGCTTTGGTCCCGCTTTTAGACACCCCGAAACCCTCTTGTCTGTCAAGATCATTCCTAAGTTCTGGTGCTAAACCATGTCATATTCTATAAGGACTGCCCAAGCTGTCTGTTGGCAGCTAGCCCCCCCATCTCATCCCTAGACTCTTCCACAGGGCTTTTGTGTGTGGAGAGTTCTCTCTGCAAGAAAGTTCTCCCCAGTCTGCCACCCTGCCTGATGTGAACCTTTGCTTCCACCCAGGCCTTAAACATAATGCTGTGGATGCTATGAGCTTCCCAAGTCTACACTTTCCTGGGACTCAGACTTCAGTCCTCTTTTGGTCTCCCCTCCAGCCCCACTAACTGCAGTACTCAGTCTCAGTTCCCAGGCCCTGACCTGGGTCAGAGCCTTGGGCTTCTATCCAGCCAGAAGAGGGGGCATCAGAAATGTTTATTTCTCTCTTCTGTGATGGGGATGCATAGCTTCTGGAATGACAGCAAATCGTTCCAGGAGGATCAAAATGACAAGGTGTGTCAGAACCTACCACTGTCTTACCCTTTCAGGAAGCTGTTCTCTGACTCACCAAAGGGCCATGTTTATGGTAGAGGATTGAGGTGCAACTTCTGTATAAATGCCAATAACCAGCGAGCCAGTCCTGAGCTCGTGTAGCCTATCCCAGTCCTTTGAAGCAAAGGTCAAGAAATGTCACTATAGCCAAAGGCGATCTTATATTATTCCTAAGTGATATTGTCAATACAGCCCAAAGTCCATCTGCTCCTCGTGTAGCATGAGAAACCCTTTTAAATAAGGAAGCTGGTTCATAGGTTCCGGTGGACATGAGTTTGGAGAAGATATGATTCATCTTAGTACAGGGGAGTGACAATAAACTGCAAGATTGATGATGATAAACCAATTAGCAATGGTCAGTGGCCCCGAGCATTCAAGGAACTATTTAAACATTTGATGACAAGGAAATCTTCCCCAAGTTCTTGAATTATCTTCATGTTTATTATTTTTTAAAGTCCAATATGTAAAGATAGGACTATTATTAAGGCCCAACTATTATTAATGCTCAACCACTGCTGGGCATTATTAAGGCCCAAGAGTGGTTAGGAATTATTTTTGTTTTGTTTTGTTTTTGTAGAGACAGGGTCTTGTTTGTTGCCCAGGCTGGTCTGGAACTCCTGGCCTCAAGCAATCCTTCCGCCTCTGTCTCCCAAAGAATGGGAACTACAGGCGTGAGCCAGTGCACCCAGACAGGAATTCGTTTCTAGCAACTGATTTTGTTTTGTAAAGCTAAAACATAGATCTCTGATTTAGACTTTTCCAAAACTCAAGACAGAACATCTCTCTTAAGAACATTAAACAGCAGCGAGAGGAACTGACTGTGCTATGGTCTATGAAACTGGCCCCCCAGGCAGAGAAACAAGTAGTTCCCCACCCCATTCCTCCCAGTTTTCCTAAAATAATTATCTCTACTAAGGAGTCTGTGCAACAAAAAATAAGAGATCATCTCAAAAAGGCTACATGTCTAAGTGGACAGTGGACACGCTGAGAGGCAGGCTATAAGCCTGAGACCAAAGGTCCCAGCAGGCTGTGGAGCAAGGCAGGCACGGAGAGAGGATCATCGGTATAGGAGTCAAGCAGCTCTGGAGTTTCTCTTCCAAGGCTGATTCTCAAAAGGGCAGCCAAGCCACCACTCTCCCTAGAACCAAAAATCTTTGGCCTAGATACAGGGACATGAATATTCTAAAATCCAGGTTGTTGCTGTTATGTCACGTTGAAGTTGAACCAAAAGTCCTGCACATTTGGAGTTTTAACCTCAGAACTCCAATAGGAATATGGCCCTAGTCAGGAAAGAAATCTTAGTCATCAAAATCCTACCATTTATTATCTTCAAAAAGTCACATGGCTGGGTGCGGTGGCTCACACCTGCAATCCCAGCACTAGCACTTTGGGAGGCCGAGGCAGGCAGATCACAAGGTCAGGAGATCAAGACCATCCTGGCCAACATGGTGAAACTCCGTCTCTACTAAAAAAACAAAAATTAGCTGGGTGTGGTGGTGGGCGCCCGTAATCCCAGCTACTTGGGAGGCTGGGGCAGGAGAATCACCTGAACCCGGGAGGCAGAGGTTGCAGTGAGCCTAGATCGCGCCACTGCACTCCAGCCTGAGGACAAAGTGAGACTGTCAAAAAAAAAAAAAAAAAAAAAAGTCACAAATGGGCTTATTGTTGTCAAGGTAAAAGCTCCAAGGCCCTACTGCTGTGGAGTGGCTGGACAGGCAAGCCTGGGATTCTTTGGTGCTCGGAAGGACGGGACTACAGGGTACCTGAGTCAGGTACCTCTACCTGGGGCGGGGCTTGTTCTTGGTGAGTCCACCAGACAAGGAGATTCTTGTGATCTGTCATTGCAGAGAACAGCACTGGGTCAGGGAGAGGACCACCTGAGGATGGAGGCCCTCAGTTTGGGAAGGCCCTGGAAATGGCCCTTCTAACCCAGCCATGTGGAGATTAAAGCAGAGAAATGCAATAACCAAGCAGAACCCATGACAACAACCTCCCCGCAGTGGCGGCGGCCAATCTCCACTGCACTCTGACCACATTGCAGGCTGTGTGCTGAGTCCCTTGTAACACTTACCTCATGTGATCCTCACAACGGCCTTATTAGAAATGTTCTTCTTAGCCCATCTGTAACACAGGGAGGATGGCAGAGCCTAAGCTAAAAGGTCATCATAGAGAGTGAATGAACACACCTCAAGGACTTAACACTTTCCAGTGAGGCATTATTTATTCCCTCCACCCACTGCTGGGGGGCTGTGAATGTTTTCTATCAGGTTCACCCCTTCTGGCCTCTAGAGGGTGTTGGGCCATTGACTCCCTTGCCCCATGGTGTGCTCCAGCCTGGCAGATGCTCCCCTGGGAGTAGGAGTTCCAGGGCACCATGGCAGCCCTGTGAGTCAGAAAGGAGAAATTGAGTTTAGATGAGAAAAAAAGAGGAGAAAATAAGGATGTAAGAAATGTAAACTTCACAATTTCACCAGCAGTCAGTCTTCCCTCGGGCCCCAACCCCCATGACCCAAGGGCAACAGCGGTAGGTAGATGGAACAGGCCCGGTTCTGGGGGTTTTGATCCCCTCAAACTCCAAACGTTCAGCTCCTGCCCAGCAGTCCTCAGACCCTAACTCTTAGTCTTAACAACCTAACGGGATGTTTTCAAGGTTTCACTTCTGCCACACATGATGCAAAAGCTCCTCCCCACTCCCATCCCACACACCTTCTGCCGCGCCTGGCAGGCCCCAGACTCAGCACAGTCACACACCACACACTCACACACTCATAATCACACACCACACACTCACACACTCATAATCACACACCACACACACACACGCCACAGAGCACACTCATGGACACACACCACACACACATAACCAGACACCACACACTAGACAGTGCACACACACACTCATAGCCACATACCACACACACACTCCACAGAGCACACACACACACTCATAGCCACACACCACACACAACCAGACACCACACACACTACACAGAGCACACACACACTCATGAACACATAGCACACACACAACCACACACCACACACTCACACTCTAGGCAGTACACACACACACACTCATAGCCACACACCACACACTCACACACTAGACAGTGCTGCTCACGCCACATACCACACACTCACACACTCCTGGAAACACACACACACACTCATAGCCACACACCACAGCAGACACCACACACACTGCACAGAGCACACACACACTCATGAACACATAGCACACACACACACAACCACACACCACACACTCACACTCTAGGCAGTGCACACACACACACACTCATAGCCACACACCACACACTCACACACTAGACAGTGCACACACACACTCATAGCCACACACCACACCCTCACACACTAGACAATTACACACACACACTCACCAGCCACACACACACTCACATAGACAGTGCACACCCACACTCCATAGCCACATACCACACACACTCACACACTCCACAGAGCACACACACTCATAGCCACACACCACACACAACCAGACACCACACACACTACACAGAGCACACACACACTCATGAACACATAGCACACACACACACAACCACACACCACACACTCACACTCTAGGCAGTGCACACACACACACTCATAGCCACACACCACACACTCACACACTAGACAGTGCACACACACACTCATAGCCACACACCACACACTCACACACTAGACAGTGCACACACACACTCATAGCCACCCACCACACACTCACACACTAGACAGTGCACACACACACACTCATAGCCACACACCACACTCACACACTAGACAGTGCACACACACTCATAGCCACACACCACACACACACTAGATAGTGCACACACACACACTCATAGCCACACACACACTAGACAGTGCACACACACACTCATAGCCACACACCACACACACTCCATAGAGGACACACACAGTCATACACACCACACACACACTCAACTAGACACCACACACACACACTACACAGAGCACACACACACTCATGGACACACACCACACACACACATAACCACGCACCACACACTCACACACTAGACAGCACACACATACTCATA